ACAGGCGTGCGGTGTGCAATGAGGAGGAGGAGCCCTTGCGTGTGGTTCTGCCTGGGCCGTCTCCTGCCACTCTCGCAGGAGGGGCTTTGCTGAGGAAGAGCCGCCAGACTGAGTTCCGTGTTGGGTTGGCCCGTGTGGCTTTGTGTTTCAGGGATTAAGATAGAAATTTTTCTTTTGCTTGGTGTTGATGCTGCTGCAGTCACGCGCTGCGTAAGTTGTCAGTGAAGGATTGCGTATAGGATGGTCGACTGATGACTACAATGATGTGCTTTTACTGTACCTTTTCTGTGTTTGGATACAGAGACACTCACCATTGTGTTACAGCCGCCTGTACTATCCAGTGCAGACTTGCCGTGCAGGTGTGCAGCCCAGGGGCAGCAGGCTACACTGTACAGCCTGGGCGTCCCATCCAGGTTGTGTAAGTCACACTGTGATGGTCGCACATCACCCGACAACACATTTCTCAGAACACACTCCCATCACTGAGCACCGTGTGGCTGTATGGTGTGTATTGTTGTAAGATGTGAACTTTAAAATAACTCAGGGAAGCGTTTGTGTGCTGAGTGCTCAACTCTCTGTGCCCTAAGCATGTGGAGTTATTTGACACACCTGTTTTCTGTAAATGTCACTGCGGTGGCCCAATGCGAGGGGGCCTGATAGTGATGCTGACTGGCAGCGCGCCCCGTTGGAACACCGTCCTGCACGCAGCTCGCGGCTCACACAGCCTCAGAGCACCGGCTCCCACAGCGTTACGTGTGTATTTTTATGCCGCAGATAGACTTCTGGCTGAGTAGGGCATGTTAATTTCTTAAGACTCCATATTTAGGGGTGACAGCAGTTGAAAAGCCTGCCAGAGATTCAAATATAAATGGGCTTTTTTGAGTGGCTTTATTTTTCTAAAGAGAGATGTGGAATCTTTTTATAGAAAAAATGTTCCCTTTTTAGTCACAAAACAGTGGTATTTGGCTGTTGCCACGAAAAGTTAATTGAGTCCTTCGTGCCTGGCTCAGCCAGAGGACAGACATCCCGTAGGGCTCCTCCCACGCGAGGACCTGACAGAGGGTCTTAGCCGGCGCCTTCGGGGCTCTGTGGAGTCGTCAGCGGCGGCACAGCTGACCTGGAGCCTTGGCTCCAGGTATCAGAAGAACGCCAGTGCGCTCAGGTTCCCCTCTGCACCTTTTTTTTTTGCATTAGATTTGGATGCAAGTGTGCTAGCTTTGTTGTTGAATGAAAGTCTATTCTGCAGATGGTTCTTACAAAGATATCAGAAAGTTTCTCAGAAGGGGGTTTGTTTCTTGCCCAGTGAGCGGTGGTTTTCTTGTCATTCAGATATATGATGTGCAGTGAGCACTCTGTGTGACCGTACCCCCCGCACCTGGCGTGGAGGGGACGTGGATGTCACGGAGTCTGCTGGAACCGCGAGGCGAGGCCGGCTTGCGGGAGAGGGCCGTTTCCTCAGTGCCGAGTGGACGCCACAAGGGGTGGAGGGTCCCAGGGGCTCCCCGGCTCCCAGTGACCCCATAAACCTGTGGGGAGGCGTCATCAGGCATGCCCCAGACCCTCTCTTCTGCGTCTTGTCACAGGCTTTGGTATTTTTTTTTTTTATCATGAACTTGGGCAAAAAAATATGCCTATTAAATTTGTGGGTGATACAAAGCTAGGAGGGAGAGCAAGTAAAGTGGTTGACACATTCAGCATCCAAAGTTTTCTTCATGGACCAAATCTAGCAAGATGGAATTCTTTTGTGGAGTAAGTTTCCCTTATAGGGTGCGTGTGAACGTAGGATGAAGGAGATGTGACTAAGAAGCCGCCCTTGCTAGGGGCCCGGTGGGGGGGGGTTGGTGAATTGTGATCCGGTAGGAATCGGTATGTGAGGCGGCTGCCCAACGGGCTCCTTAGCGCACGGTGTCTAGAAGAAGGTGTGGGTTGCTTCTGGGTGACTGTCGGTGGATGCTGTGGTGGTCATGTTGAGTGACACGGTGAAAGGGACGTTGATAAAGTGGAGGGTACTAGAGGAGAGAGTCCAGTGTGATCCAGAGCGTGAACAGTGGGAACTGAAGTCATCCCAGCTGGGGCCAGTGCTGCGCGTGGGTCGTTCACCTGAGCGTGTGCCGCGGCAGCACGTGCGTGCGCTGGAATTGGGACGATGTCGGGAAGGCTAGCGCGGCCCTGGGCAAGGGTGACGTGCAGATTTGGGACGTGTCCGTATTTGTATGCTGTTGCCGTGCCTGTCCTGTTAATTACTGCTGCTTGAATACCTGCCTTCTGGAATTTCGGAGACTATATTTTTATAATATATTTAATGAGTTAATTTTAGGTGAAATTGCATCCTAATTTTGTATGTGAAGTCAGGTTCATACATAATAAAGCTTGGCTATAAGCAAAAACTATTCATCTGAAATTTGTAAAGGGTAGATGTTTGTTTTGGATAACTCAAGCTTCCTTTTAATTGTGAGATTCTGTGTTGTATTTTTTAGGGTACCTGCTGTGTGTGAGATTTTGTATAAACCCTGTGAGTGAGTTTGAAGAAAGCTATATAACACGCATGAAAATAAATGGAATAATGCATTATATAAATAGGTACCGAATTTTGTGATTGAGGTTGTGACTGTCCTTTGCAGCCTGGAGTTGTGGTGGTCATTGCCGGGGCGGGGGCGGTGCAGGCCTCTTGAGAGGGCAGGTGCAGAGGAGCCGGGGATGGATTTCTATGTGGGAGGGGGCCTGGGGAGCAGCTGCAGTGACTGCCAGCTCTCACTAAGGCCTGCCTGTCCACAGCTCTGGGAGCTATGTGGGCGGTGCCCACACACCTGTAGCAGGTGTGTCTTTGTCTGAGAGCTTCCGGGTCCCTGGGACCCCAGCATGTCCACACCCCCACCCCCTCTTTGTTTTGTCTTTGTTCTTCTGTCTTGTTATGAAAGTGATACCTCTTCAGTGGTGGAAACTTGGGGAATGCAGGAAAGAAGAAGACAACAATAAAACCATGGAAAACCCTCAATTTAGAACCTTATGTAATAATTTGCTTTGTAACCTGTCATTTCACTTACTGTTTTTTGAGCATTTTCCCATGGCATACCATATTTCAAGGAATTTGATTTTTTAAGTCTTTTCTTTTTCCTCAAAACTTAGTGTTGACACAAATTTTTTTAAGTTCTAATTGGTAGAATACTACTTTTATTTACAATTCTTTGTTTACTGGGGAGGTTGATTTTAGTTTTGTTTCCATTATTTGTCTATATTCTTAAGGTTTTAAATTCACTTCTTTTTCTATTGTTTTTTATTGCCATTTTTTCCTATATTTTTCCCACTGACACTGCATGTCAGATAATTACCATACATTTTTCTATCAATTTTAGGTATAATTACGGTAAAATTCAATAAAATGTATATCTTTTAGGTATATGGTTAGATGAATTTCCACAAATATATCGAACCACCACCACAATCAGGGTAGAAGTTGCCTTGTGCCCCTCCTAGCCCTGGCCCCGGCAGCTACTGTCAACCGTAGTCTAACCTTACTGCCGTTCAAGATTCTCATATGCAGGCTGGGCGCGGTGGCTCACGCCTGTCATCCTAGTCTTCTGGGAGGCCAAGGCACGCAGATCAATTGAGCTCAGGAGTTTGAGACCAGCCTGAGCAAGAGCGAGACCCTGTCTACTAAAAATGGAAAGAAATTAGCTGGACAACTAAAAATATATAGAAAAAAAAAAAAAAAGAATCTCATATGCAGTCCCTGCTTCTCTTTAGCATGATGTTTTTGAGATTCATCCATATGGTTGTATGTATCAGTAAGTGATTTTTTTGTTTTTTTATATTTTTAATTAAAAAATTACATTTCTTTATTTTTTATATTCTTATAATTTTTTTCTTATTAATCTGCCTTATTGTGAGTTGATTTTTTTATTTTTTTAAAGAGAAGGGATCTCACTGTGTTGCCCAGGCTGGCCTGAAACTCCTGGGCTCAAGTGATCTCAGCCTCCTGAGTATCTTGGTGCTGCAGGCTCGGCAGTAATTGCGTTTCGTTGCTGAGAAGTGTTCCATCCTGTGGATGCGCCACAATCTGTCCATTCCTCCACTGGAGAGCATCTTGGCTGTTTCCAGTTTTTGACAATTATGACTAAAGAGTCTGTAAACATGAGTATATAAGTCTTCATGTAGACCTGTGTTTTCTTTTCTCTTGAGTAAATATCTTTTGTCAAATTGCCAAATTGTAGGCTAAGTTTATGTTTTGTAAGAAACCATCAAAGTGGTTGCGCTATTTTCCACTCTCACCAGTACCGTGTGAGTGAGTTCCAGTTGCTCCAGGTCCTCACCGGCACTTGGTGTTGTCTGTTTATTTTAGATATTCTGCTGGTGTGTGGTAGGATCTGACTGTGGTTTCAGTTTGTATTTCCCTGACCACTAATGACATTGAACATCTTTTCATGTTTTTATTGGCCATTTTACATCTTTTTTCCCTACTGTTTTTGTTTCTTGTGAGCTTTCCGTTCAAATCTTTTCCCCATATGTTTTTCTTTTTCTTCTTCTTCTCCTTCCTCCTCTTCTTCCTTTTTTTTTTTTTGGTGGTAAATCCTGGTGAGCTGTGGTCCATATTTTTATTGGGTTGTTTATCTTACTATTATGATAAAGTATGTTCTGGATATAAGTCATTTGTGAGGCACGTGTTTAAAAATATTTCTCCCAAGTTTATCCCTTGCCTCTTATATTTTAATGGTGTATTTTGAAGTTTTTTAAATTTGATGGAGTCCAGTTTATTATGTTTTACCCAAGAAATCTTTATCCACTCCAAGGTCATGGGGATTGTCTCCTGTTTTATTCTTGAAGTTTTATAGTAGCTAGCTAGGCTCCATCAGGATGGTTTTGGTAGCTTGTGGATCAGACTATATGGTACACAGTAAGTGCTTACAAAATGGAAATCAGTGTAAAAAGAGGTTGTTTTTTTTTTTTAAAGCAACTAGAAATTAAGCAGATTTATACCTTTTTTTTGTTTCCTTCATTTTTAGAGCAACAGGAGGTCCTTCAGGTCGGAGCGGACATCGGATGGTAGCCTGGAAGAGACAGTTAATCCTTTTTGGTGGCTTCCATGAGAGCACAAGGTTGGTACCAGTAGCAGAAAAGCGTTTCTTTGCAGAAGCATCAGGAGTGGACTTGTTATGGAAGGCCTTCCTGAGTACGCGTGGAAAATGCCCTCGCCCTCTCCAATCAGAGCCAACTTCGCTGGCATGCGGCTCTGGCATCCATCAAGGGCCCCGCAGCTGGTTTGGCGTTGTGTTGTCACTGCGCTGAAATTCTGAATTGTTGAACAGGGGGCCCCACGTTTTAATTTTACATGAGGCCCTGCACGTGATGTGGCCAGTCCTATGTGAAATGGGGCCTTCAGACTGTGGCCTGGTCCAGAAGACCCTGGAGGGCTCGTTACAGCTCTGACTGCCAGCCCTGACGCGGCAGGCCCGGGCGGGGCCTGAGAACCTGAGTTTCTAACAAGCGCCCACTTGACGCTGACGTTGCTGACCAGGGGTCCTCACTCGGAGAGCCACTGGTCTGTGACAATTAAAAAATATTCCTAGGGACAGCAGCGATAGCCCACGTTCTCAGCTCTGTCTCACATTGACATCCGTGCGGCTGGAGTGCGTTTCCCGGGCGAGCCGCGGGTTCTGTTTGAAGCCTGGTGTTTGTCTATACACCTTCTTGAGCTTCCTTAATGCAGACCAGAAAAGCAAGATGGGCGAGCAGGTGGTCACTGATTCTGTCTCAGCGCCGTCACATCCTGTGTACCGTTTTTTCTGATAATTTTTGGTTTTCTGGTAATTTTTGGTGCAGGGAAATAAATCCTCAAACACGTATGAGGAAGGCAGCGTTGGGTGAGTCAGGAGGGGCAAGCATTGCGATTTTCCCACATCCCCCCACCCCCCATCACAGGCTGGGGCATTAGATGTGGATTTGGCTCACTTAAGGTTTTGGATTTTCTTCATGGATATGAAATATTTTCATTAATTCCATTAATTGAGAAAAAGGTATCTAAATTATTAAATGCTTTTTGGGGGTGGAATTTTAAGAATATAATTCAAATTAAGCAAATATCTTAATTGGTTTTGTGTGCTGTAACAGAATACTTGAGGGTGGGTAATTTATAAAAACAGGTTTACTTAGCCCATGATTCTGTAGCCTGGGAAGTCAAGGACATGGCCCTGGTTTCCTGCGAGGCCTTTTGGGCTGCTCGGTGTCAGAGCAGGGTGGAGAGGTCAAAGGGGAAGTGAGCACCTGTGACCTTTTCAAGTCCTATCTGTGTTCTGCCATCTTTGGGCACCTGAGCCCCATGGGAGGCATTGAGCAGGACAGGATCGAGGGGCCTATGGGCGCCTCAGATTCTTTGCCTCGCTCGCACCTGTGGATTCAGGATCTGCTTCTGGTGTCTTTCGTGTCCTGGGAACGCCCTGCCCCCCCTCCCGCACAGCGTCTTGCCAGGTCCTCACTGTGGGTGTCTCTGCTCTGCCATTGTGACTGCTCAGTTAGGTCTGTAATCCATTGCTGGTGTTAAAACGCACAGCACGTGTATTTTGTATATATGTATGTGTATAAAACATATAATAGTAACCTAATGTAATTATTTGTGAGATTGTGATGCTGTTGACTGAGGAAATAGAATTATATTAAATTATACTTCTGTGGGCTGACATTATTTCTAGTTTTCAAATAGGAACTCACACGTGCTTGTGGTCCTTTCGTATGAATTTAAACTTCAGTTAAACAGATGACTTAGTAAATGGTAGGGGATTTACCTGTAATTTAAATCAGGTTCACTTTCTGACGTCACTGCCGTTTCCCAACGTTACTGACTGTGATGATGTGTGCTTTATTCTCCCCAGGGACTACGTTTATTACAACGATGTGTACGCCTTTAACCTGGACACATTCACCTGGAGCAAGCTGTGCCCGTCGGGGACAGGGCCCAGCCCCCGCTCAGGCTGCCAGATGTCCGTCACGCCACAGGGCAGCATAGTCATCTACGGGGGCTACTCGAAACAGGTGAGGTGTGGCGTGTGGGGAACGGTGACTTCTGTCTGCTGCTGTTCAGTTCTATCAGTGATGAAAACTTCCAAATAAGATTACACATGGGTTTAATATAAAACATTCTTTTTATTAAATTAGAAATAGAGGTAGTGCTGATCTGCTCCTTTGTGAACATATTAAGATTTTTATTTTATTTTTTAAATTTTATTTATTTATTTATTTATGTATTTTGAGACAGTCTCACTCTGTTGCCTGGGCTAGAGTGCCGTGGTGTCAGCCTAGGTCACAGCAACCTCAAATTCCTGGGCCCAAGCGATCCTCCTGCCTCAGCCTCCCGAGTAGCTGGGACTACAGGCATGTGCCACCATCCCCTGCTAATTTTTTATATATATATCTTTTTTAGTTGGGTAATTAATTTCTTTATAGTAGAGATGGTGTCTCACTCTTGCTCAGGCTGGTCTCGAACTCCTGACCTTGAGCAATCTACCCGCCTCAGTCTCCCAGAGTGCTAGAATTACAGGCGTGAGCCACCTCACCCAGCCTATTAAGATTTTTAAAGGCCATATCTCATCCACGCTCCCCCACAGCACCATGTGTGAATGATTCTGTATTTTGAGGGTCTGTCTTCTTAAGCCGTAGATACTAAGTCTACTGTCCAGTGTTCCACTGTGGAACATGCCACGACTCACTCCCCTTTCTACAGTGAACAGGCCACTTGCTCTTGCAGTCTGCAGGCGGTGCTGGCGGGAACATGTGTGCACACGCACAGGCGAGGGTCCTGTCACTGCACTGCTCATCACGCTTTACCTGTCTTCACATTTTGTGAATCTGAGCAGTATGAAATGGTCTCGTTGGGCTTTTAAAAATCCTTTGTATTTTGAAAAATGTCAAGCATATAGCTAACTTGAAAGAATTTTACAGTGAACATTTATATACCCCACCTAGCTCCTACTGTGGAGATTGTACTACGCTCGTTTCATCTGTCTGTCCAGCTGTCTGTAGCCCTGTCGGTCCATCCAATGTCTCTTGATGTCTGATGTCTAAGAAAGTATAGACGCCGTGCCCCCAAACACGTGAATGTGCCCGTCAGGTGGAGGTCAGCACTTAGTTTCAGTGTGAAATTCAGCCACACTGAGGAGCACACGTTTTACATGTGTGCTCGCTGGCTGCGACAGGCGCACTCGCCGTGCGACCTGAACCGTGGTCCAGCCCCACCCAGCCTCGTCCCCCAGAGGTGAGGACTGTTCAGCTTTCTCCCCCCGCGCTAGCTTTGCCTGTCATGGATGCAGCCATACAGTGTGTGCTCCTGAGTGCGCCGTCCACGTTGCTCTTTCCAGCTTGTTCTCAGTGCAGAGTGGCATCCGACACGTGCCTGCACCATGGTTTGTGTCTCTCTGCTTTGCTGATGGGCACCCTGGCTGTTCGCAGTCTCTCGTAGGCGTCGGTAAAGCTGCAGGGGGCACTTCTGGGTGGTGTCGTGTGCCTACACGCTTTGACCTCTCGGGTCAGTGAGCCATCTGAGTCCGAGCTGCTGGGTCCCAGAGAGGCTCCAGCTTCACAGAAATGGTCAGACCTCTTCCCAACGCGATTGCACCAAAGGTACTTGCACTGAACACGTTAGCGTCCTGATGGTCGTCCACGTTCTCGCCAACGCCCGATAGTGCTGGTCTTTTGGTCTTTGTCACGAGTCATTCCGGTGGATGTGCAGTCTCTCGTTGTGGTTTTACTCCACATTTCTCTGATGACTGCAGATGTTGAAGGCTTTTCTGGAGTGTATTGGTCGTTTGAACTAATACATCTTCCCTGAAGTGTGTGCTCATGTCCTTTCCTGTTTTGATGGGCTGTAGCTTCGTTCCTGAGTCGCAGGAGTTGCTCACACATTCCGGCCGTGGCTTGCCTGCTTGCTTGCTTAAGTGTTTGTTGATGACTAGAAGCTTTAAGTTTAGACTTTAACAGAGTCTAATTTATTATGTTTATCTTTTATGATTATTGCTCTCCATGACCTAAGAAGACCTCGTTTATCTTCCGTAACAAAGATCTGCTTATATTTTTCTCTAAAAGCAAACACAGTTGTAGCTTTTACATTTAGTTCTAGGATCTACCTTGAATGGCTTTCATGTGCAGCATGAGGTGGGTATTGAGGTTTGTGTGTGTCTCCCACATAGATACGTGTTTGTCAACAGCACCGTCTGTTGACAAAACTCTTCTTATCCCATTGGATGCCATGCGGCCCGTGGTTGGCAGTCTTGTGGCTGGAAACGTGAGTCTGTCTCTGGGCTGTGCTCTGTCCCTGTGCTTTATTTTTATTTATTTATTTTTTTTATCGAGGACTTCTGCATCTATGTTCATCAGTGATATTGGTCTCTCATTTTCTTTTCTTTTTTTTTTAGTGGAAATAAAATTCTGAACAATTACAAAAGCAAATACATTCCATTCACAATAGCATCAAAAGAATAAGATAGGAATAAATTTAACAAAAGAAGTGCAAGACTTGTATGCTGAAAACTAAAAAACATTGCTGAAAGAAATGAAAGACCTAATAAGAATGAAATCTCGCTGTTACAGATGCAGAAGACTTGATTTCGTTAAGATGGCAAATACTCCTTAACTGACTACAGATTCAATACCCTAACAAAATGCTTGCTGGCTATTTTTTTTTATTATATTTATTTTTATTTTAGCGTATTATGGGGGTACAAGTGTTAAGGTTACATATATTGCCCATGCCCTCCTCCCCTCGAGTAGGTGTCAAGTGTGTCCATCCCCCAAATGTTGCATTCCTACTCGTTTTGGTTGAATATACCTATCCCTCGTCTCCCCCCCACCACCCTCCCGACCCCCGATAATGTTACTCCTATATGTCCCTTAGGTGTTGATCCGTTAATACCAGTTTGCTGGTGAGTACATGTGGTGCTTGTTTTTCCATTCTTGAGATACTTAGTAGAATGGGTCCAGCCTATACCAGGAATATACAAGAGGTGCTGTATCACCATTGTTTCTTAAAGCTGAATAGTACTCCATGGTATCCCATATACCACATTTTATTATCACTCATGAATTGATGCGCACTTGGGTTGTTCCACAGCTTTGCGATTGTGAATTGTGTGCTATAAACATTTGAGTGCAGGTGTCTTTCATAAAGTGCTTTTATCTTTTGGGTAGATGCCAGTACTTGGAATTGCCGGATCAAATGTAGATCTACTTGTATCGCTTTGATGGGTTCTTAGTTGACTTTCCCAGAGGTTGAACTAGTTTGCATGCCACCAGCAGTGTAGGAGTGTTCCTCTCTCTCTGCATCCACGCCAGCATTTGGTTGTTTGGGAGATTTTTAGAGTAACGGGCCATTCTCATGGGTTAAGTGGATATTCGATTGTGGTTTTGGATTTGCATTCCCTGATGATTAGTAGATATTGGAACATTTTTTCATATGGTTTGTTGGCCATTATTGCTGTCGCTCTTTTGAGAAGTTTCTGTTCATATCCTTTGTCCCATTGTTTGATAGGTGTTTTGATTTTTCTTCTTACCTGATGTTCTGAGTTCTAAATAATTCTAGTTAGTCAGCCCTTGATCAGATGTGTAGCTTGCAAAAAATTTCTCCGCTTCTGTGGGTCTGCTTTGCCTCTCTTGACATTTGTTTGCTGCTGCGGAAGTTTGTTAATTTGATCAGATCCCATTTTGTTTTATTTTGTTGGCTGTCGTGATTTGCCTTTGGGTCGTGCTTCCATAAATTCTTTTGCCGTGGCCAAATGTCTAGAAGAGTGAATTTCGAATATTTTCTTAGAATGTCTAATAGTTTGCACACTAAGTTTCAAGTCTTTACCCAGCGTGAGTTGATTTTTGGTGAGAGGTTGAAAGGTGTGGGTATTTGTCAGTCTTTCCACATGTGGCTTCCGCAGTTTTCCCAGCACCATTTATTGAATAGGCTAGAGTCATTTAAGTTTCTTTTCTTTTTTTTTTTCTTGATCTTTGAAATGAGCCTGCAAAGTCAAAACCATTGCACCTTTTCTCTTGCTTTGCTTAGTATTGACTTTGGAACAGCCTTCATCAAGTTCTGCAATGTCTTCACTTTCATCATCTAACACATCCATGAATGTTCCTCCGTCTTCATCAATTTCAGCAAATTCATCGTTCATACTTCCCAAAGAAACTTCATCATCATCTAAGTTATCAATTTCATCATCTCTACCTTCTGAATCTTCATCTTCTGGGTTATGCTTAGTTCCTTTTGTTTTCTTTTTCACGTTGCCAGCAAAATCCATATTAGAAATGTTTTTTTATTGCTGTTTCAATTTCAGTACTTGATATTGGTCTGTTCAGGAATTCTATTTCTTCCTGGTTGAGCCTAGGGAGGCTTTGTGTCTCTAAGAAATTGTCCATTTCCTCCACATTTTCCAGTTTGTGTGCATAGAGGTTTTTGTAGTATTCACAAATTATATCTTGTATCTCCGTGGCATCAGTTGTAATTTCTCCTTTATTGTTTCTGATGGAGCTTATTAGAGATTTTTCTTTTCTGCTTTTCATTACTCTAGCCAATGGTGTGTCAATTTTGTTTATTTTTCCAAAGAACCAACTTTTTGTTTTATTAATCTTCCGTATAGTTTCCCTGTTGTCAATTTCATTTAGTTCTAATTTGACCTTAATGATTTCACTTCTTCTGCTGGGTTTCGGGTTAGTCTGTTCTTCTTTTTCCAGCTCTTTGAGACAATTCATTAGGTTGTCTATTTCTGATCTTTTTGACTTTTGATATAGGTAGGCATTTATGGAGATAAACTTTCCTCTCAGGACTGCTTTAGCTGTGTCCCACAGGTTTTGGTAACTTGTGTCACCTTTGTCATTTAGTTCAAAGAATCTTTTGATTTCCATCTTTTTTTTTTTTGTGATCTAAAACATTTGTAATTGATTTCCATCTTGATTTCCTTATTTATGAAGTGATCATTCAGCAAAAGGTTGTTTAGTTTCCATGACTTTGTGTGGAAATGAGAACTCTTGTTAGGATTCATTTCTACATTTATACC